GACATCTATGTACCAAGTTTCATTGAAATGTGATGATTAGTACTTGAGATATCAGTGGAAAAACCGAAAATTGACTAATCATTATGCAAATTAGGTAATTAGTATCCACGGATTATTACCAAAAACTAATCAAAACCTAGCATTAGTTCAGAGCATCTATGTACCAAGTTTCATCAAAATCCAATGAGTGGTTGTTTAGATATCAGTGGAACAGTCATGGAACCACTAAAAAATAGCTAATTATCATGCAAATTAGGTAATTAATATGCACGGATTTTTACCAAAAATTAATCAAATCTGCGCATATGTTCAGAGCATCTATGTACCAAGTTTCATCAAAATCCAATGAGTGGTTCTTTAGATATCAGTGGAACAGTCATAGAACAGCTAAAAATTAGCTAATTATCATGCAAATTAGGTAATTAACGAGCATGGATTTTTACCAAAACCTAATCAAATCTGCGCATTGGCCCAGAGCATCTATGCACCAAGTTTCATCAAAAAACAATGTATGGTTCTTGAGATAGCAGTGGAACAGTCGGACACACATACACACATACACACATACACACATACAGACACACTAACTGCAAAGACTCCCATTTTGTGCTTCGCACATGGGAGTCAAAAAAAGACAAAAAAAAAGAGAGATCAATCTCAGATCTTTTTTCGCATTACTTACCTTGGCTTGTATTTCGTGTTAGTGGTTGTTGTAGTTTTAACGTTCTGGATACAGCGTTTCTTAACGAAAGACGATAAAATGTCGGCAACGTACGTAAACAGGCAACTTTACACAAGCTGCACACATGCCTCATTGTCAGTAACCAAATATGTGCACAGTACCCGTATCATTTAGATTCTACGTATGTGACCCTCTGACACCATCGAATTTACTGATCAAAACATGTGCAGATGACACGATGCATGTGAATGAAACAGCTGAGATTCTACTTCCGGGTTTAAAAAAGTACACAGACAAAATTATTATTTCACTTCCGGTTTAAAAAATACATCCGCGGAATAGAAAGTGAATACATTTTTCTGATATTCAGTTAGCTAATTTAATTTTTATAACTTCAATTCCTGTAGAATATGAAAGAAATGTGCTTTTAATCGTGTTTTAAAAGACGTATTTGATTATATCGCGCGATATTGCACTACATGTTGTCAGTGCGCTGTGATACAACATTTTGGATTAGGTGTTGCACGGCACCTTGGACAACTCGTATGTGAATATGATTTCGCTCGAATCTCTAATTTCTTGACGTAAAATTGGCTTTCCAGTTGGTAAGCTTGGTGAATAAGTGCCCCGCGTGCCCCGACTCGTTCGAAAATAACTCTCCCAGTTTGCAAATTTGTGAAACAACGCTTATGCCATGATTTTATAGGGACCAGTGAATGTGGGTGACGTTTCATTTCTCTGGCTTGGATGTTTTCGGTGAAATCGTTTCGTCGTCATTTTGACAGAGATCGATAAATTTACACCAGTCATGTTTTCGGCGCTGAAGAAATTGGTCGGGAGCGATGCCCATAATAAAGGAACTGTACCATCTGGAATGCAAGCAATGGGGCAGAATTTACAGAGACGATTTGCTAAAGGAGTCCAGTACAACAGTAAGTACAAATGTACCAGTGGCCGATTGCCATATTATTATTTTTACTTGGGGGTCAACCATTAAAATTATGGGGGAGGGGGGGGGGCTTGAATAGTGTAACAAGAGCAATTTATGTTTTGTAGTGTTTATAATATCTGTACATTTATCATGTACCATTTTTTCCCTACAATTAGTTGAAGGCATTTTTTTTTCACTGCCTCGCATACAACCCCCCCCCCCCAATTAATCTTTCAGTCATCCATCACAATTTGAAATGGTCGACCCCTTATATACTTGGCAACAACTGTACAATCTCTGTCAAGGTCTTTTCTGCAACAATGTTTTTGCTGTTGTCTCAGTATGTTCATAACTTACATTGTTTTTGTGTAGTTTATTAGTCAACAGACTATTAATTGTATTTAAAATGTTTCAGATTGTTGTGTACATGTGTATATGTATATACTCAACAAACGCATTCCTTCATTTTTTGATGATCCACAGATATGATTACTTTAAAGTTGAAATCAATATATGAATTGATCACCTGATTTGCTTAAAAATATTCATTCATTTGATACTGTATCTCAATAACCACTCATAATATTTCATTATAACTTGGTTACATGTACTTGTAGTCTGAATCTGGACATCTGATTGGCTGAAGCAAGATCTTATGTCTTATGTCTAATATCTGAATAAAAACTAGATTAAATATCTAACTGAATTGAGATCACGAGACTGTGAGCCCTGTTTATGCATGTAGTAATCGGAGTATGTGATCAACTGAACAAAACAGGTAAACTCGGTACAAATACTAATTTGAATTATTATTGCCAAAAATGTTAATAAACTGAGCATTTTGTGAAAAAACTTCCCGAGAGGAGTGTCGATCATTGCCACTCACCAGACCTGTCATCTGTTTTGTAAATCAACGTAAAGGTAAAGGATCACAACTAAAAATATCGTATTTTTTTATGTTTTTTTACATCATGTAGACTGTTATTTTCTTCCTTCAAATATGCTAATTTTCCCCAGAAGTCTTGTATCCACTACCAAATAACCTTGCTTACCATTATAACTTTTAAATAAAGTTTGGTACATGGAGACATTTAAGTTAAATTCTCCACCTTCTAATTACTTTGTTAACTTTTAGGTTTTATACATGTATTCCCAGTACAACTCATCAGTTAAATTCTGAGATGCCTCTTCATAGTGCAACTTTAAATGACAGCAAACTTATGTGTCAATAATGTATATTGGACAAACTTTATGGGGTGGGATGACGCCCCCCCCCATAAAGTATTAATGAGTATTAGTATTTATTGATACCCCCCTTTACATGTACATACACACACCTTTTTGTTTGGGTGATTAGAACTTATTTCCCATGAGATGTATGATGGTTATGTTTTGATTTTTATCTTCTTTTCTCCAGTGAAAATAATAATTAAAGGTGACAGAAATACTGGTAAGACTACATTGTTTCAAAGGTTACAAGGACAGAAGTTTATGGAAGAATACATTCCCACTCAAGAAATACAAGTTGCTAGTATCCAATGGAGTTATAAGAGTAAGAATTTACCACCAGTTCCCTCTTTTCATCACAAATTCACAAAATAGTCTTGCTTATAGTTTGCACTTTCCTTCAGAAGATTGAGACAAAATTAGTTGAATAAAAACTAAAAATTGACTCTAATTGTGTCTGTTGAAGAATGTAAGATAAATTGGCAGAATAATTTTTGTATTTTTCAGGGTAGAATTGAATTTTTTTGTTATTGCATAACCCATAATTCATTATGATAGAATATTTTAGCTGAATGCGACACTGTCTTAAAAAAGTAATGTTTAAAAAATGGCTTCATTCAGGCAATGAACTACTTTGATATCCGTAACAAATCCCTGAAAATCTACACTGACGTTACCCAATATTTGTTAACGTTCTGTGCACATTGTCCATATTTGGTCTGTGATTACAATTTGTATGTCAGCTCTAATTTTAGTAAGATTTTACAAGAGCAAAATTTTGTGAGTCTTGGCAAACTATGATATTTCGTGCAATGTAGCAGTGAATATTTTATTTGGGATTTCTTTTAAGACTGAGTGACAGTGACGTCATCATTGATAACATTATGAAATCACACAATCTATTTCACGTTTATTACAGTAAAGGCTGCAAAATTATTCCACAGTGCCAGCATGTCTTCTTTGTTTCCAAATGAACTGATATGAAGGAAAATTCAGGGCCTTTCCTCAGTGAGTGAGTGAATAGTGAGTGATCATAGAAAATAGAACATGAATAAAAACAAAAATAATAGAACATTACACATGCTCATCTAAAAGTTATCTTTGAGAATGACATCAACTCTTTATGTCATTCTGTTAGCTCCTATTTTTAACCAGCTGTAGAACATTATTATTTCAACCAATGTAGTTTCTAGGATTATTTCTAGATCTGTGTTGTGTGTTGTACTAATAGTTTACCACTTAACGACTCCATATAGTGGTACATGAATAAATGTATTTTTATCTGTTTTGTAAAACCAAAATAAAAAAATGTTTGGGATGTGGCTGAATGCAAACAAGTGAAACAATACTTATGTTTTGCAGTGATAATTTGTTTCGTATGGCCGAGGTCACATATATTTTATTTATTTTTAGACATTCAATCAAAATACATTTGTGACAGATGTTTTGGTGGTATTAGCTAAGGTGAATTCAACTTCAGCGTACATTTATATTATGCGAATTAACATTGACACCATTCATGCTGTATTTGTCACCAATTTTTTTGCATATTTTTTATTGAAAGCTAAATTTACCTTTGGAGTACTAAATGAGGTAAACATTTGGTACCACATGGTCATTTTGGTTCAGTATTTCATGGATTAAAAAAATATGACAAGATTGACCAAAAAAAATCTACTCATGCTTTTTATAACCGCAATCAATTGTTTTTACTCGGAACATACATTGTGTATGTGTACAAAATGTACATGTACCTAAGCCTCTGATCTTTATTTAAACTAAATTTGAAATGTGAGAAGAACACAGAAAAATAGATGCAGTTTGAAATTATAGGTCTTTCTATTTTGATCAGCAAGTTAGCAAATATGCATGTACTACACACCACCATTGTTTAAAATTTTACATTTTTCAAAAAAAGTCAATGTCCACGTTTCTGTCGAATGGGACAACTCTTTTGTGGTATTGAATTATTTTGAAAAATAACTGGGTTCGAGAAATAAATTAAAATTTCAAGAAGAATTCCATCAAGACCCTTCACTTGATGTTTCATCAAAATTTCGGCAGAAATAGTATGGTGCTTGGAGAAAAAAGGTTTCCATTTTACATCAAGTCTTGATAGAGCCAACCTTTAGGATTTTATACTGTATTTTCAGATCTAGTTTGCTAACTTGCTTTCACAATTAGTGTATCTTAGTTTACCTCTAACCAACATTTTTATCAGTTTATCACAGTGTATTACATTTTTTTTTTCATTTATTTATTGACCAAAAATGCTCACAGAGCTAAAAAAGCAACATAATGTGAAAACCAAGGAATTACAACATTTCGGTAAAGTTTCTACTCTATTCACTTCTATATATTTTTGGGTTTTGGTTTGGTTTTGCATGGGGATACAATTCAGCTGGTATCATATGGCGGTGTTCTCTCTCTCTCATTTTGCGCGCTTAAATTCATACATGTATGTAGCTTTCATGTCATTGGTAATATTAAAAGTTTTACATTCTCTTGAAACTTAAGAGTTGCGATGTTGGCGAATTGTAGTTGAATGATTTTTTTTTCAATTTTGAGTATCTTGGCCAAAAATCGTATATCTGAAAGTTACATCATTCATAAGTAATATCGATCATGATCTGTCTGATTATGCCATTTATCAGTTAAATTATTGTCTTCATTATATTAAATCCCATGATAATTTTGCTATAGGTGTGCGCTAAACACAACTAAGCTAGGAAGTACATAATGATTGATATATATGAAGTGAGCTGTGAGTTCAATCACAATGACAGCACGAGTCAAATAGTCAGTTGACTCAATCGTAGAACAGAAAATGTTGGGTTTAATTGGTTCCTCAGGAGATTAAATGTCACTATTCTTAGCTGAGCAGGATTCCAGAAATAGATAAATAGTTGGATACATAAATAAATACATGTAAGATGCTGAAAACAAATGAAAATGGAAATGCTTGATAATTTTCAGCTTTTGACAAGACACTAGTGATGCAGATATCTCGCAAATACCATATGTAACTTTTGCATTTTTCGATATTACTAGTACTCAAATTACTTAACAAGCCGAAGGCTGTAAATAAAATGTTGCCAAAATGTTTAACGTGCTAATAACTTGGCCAATATTAACTAAATTCAGCATGGCATTTGGATCATGATTATTTTGTTCAGTGATCTTGTTATTTTTTGTTTAGACAACATAAAATTCTGTCATGCATTGCTGTTTTGAATGCTGCTTTGAGAAGCTCACTCAGATGAAGTGCCAACACGAACCAATTTCATTTCACAGATGAATCTTATTGTGGGGAATGATTCACGTCAAATTTTCATTTCATTTCATTAAACTCATTTTCAGATCTTCAGGATATATTCTGCATTATTTCTGTGAGCTAAAAACAAGCTTAAGATGCAGAAGTGTCAATCACCTGAAAATCTATGGAAATACTTGATAATTTTTGGCTGTTTGCATGAAGCCTCCGACATGCATATTTTGCGAATACCTTTTCCATTTGGTACATGTACATGTCACAATTTATACAGGGTTTGGTTTACGTAGGTTTAAGTGTACTCTCTATGAATTTAGAAAAACACTACTGTCAATCAAATTTATACAATTAAATTGACTACCAACACTTATAAATGGCCCAATCTATTAACAAAAATTGTTTAGATTAATTTTGAAAGCGTTCAAAACAATCAATTTTTGAAGATCAGTGTATTAAGTGATTTTCAAATTCAAATTTTTTTATGAAATTAATACAGTATTCTTTCCAGCTGATCTAGCTGAAAAGTTAATTAATGAGTTAATTAATGAGTTAATTAATGAGTTAATTTTGTTCAGTTATTGTGCAATCATATACTGGTACATGTAAATCTCTCTTGGCTTTCTGTTATATATATCTTTACATTTACCTGGAGAGAACACTGCTATATTTAAAAGTGAATGGAAACAATATTATTTGAATGGTGATTGCATGTGGGTAGAATTTGGTGTTTTATCTTTATATTTATTTTGAACTACTGATGATGAATCATGTGAACACTTTGATGTTTTATTTTATATAACAAAAATTGGTTAAATTTAATTTTTGGATATTTTGGGGTTACCAACTTTGAAGTTAATTATTAACTCTTTGAATGCTAAGACAACTTGTGTTACCTTTCACAAAATTAGGCACGCAAAATTTAAAAAAAGAAATCAAAGCTAAAAATTGGCAAAATGGCACGCAAAATTTACTAAAAAAACAATGGCATTCAAAGGGTTTATTTGAATAGTCACAAGACTGGTTTTTGTCTCTGAATAGTATCCCATTTTCTAATGTCACTGTGTCTCCAATTCCTCTTGCCATGGAATCGATGTGATTAGGAACATTGGACTTGATAACGGTAGATAATGGAACATTATTTGGGGGTGAAAACAAGTAGCATGGTTCTTTCACTCTCAACGAGATCTTAGCTGCCTTTTGAGTATAATGTCTATTATAAGAGGTTTATTGAAGGATATTTCCTATCTGAAGAGGCACATGTTCAGATCTTAAGAATAGAAAATTCAATTTTATATCACCAAGAGCATGTTTAGCATGTAGAAAATGCTGTTTTATTTCACTGAATGTATTCTCAAATACACATAACATGATTCAAAAGTGTCTGGACACAACTCAAAATCATTTTCTCCCAATATTAGATTATGGCCATTATGAAGCTGATGTGTATTCTCTTTAAAAAAACAAAAAAAAACATTGTTCAATCATGATTACTGGGCATCTATTGTTTTTTGAAATGATATGACACTTATAAACTCTGTTACTACATGTACATGTATTATTCTCTGAAACCACTGGACATCTATTATTCTCTGAAACCACTGGACATCTATTATTCTCTGAAACCACTGGACATCTATTATTCTCTGAAACCACTGGACATCTATTATTCTCTGAAACCACTGGACATCTATTATTCTCTGAAACTACTGGACATCTATTCTTCTCTGAAACCACTGGACATCTATTATTCTCTGAAACTACTGGACATCTATTCTTCTCTGAAACCACTGGACATCTATTATTCTCTGAAACCACTGGACATCTATTCTTCTCTGAAACCACTGGACATCTATTATTCTCTAAAACTACTGGACATCTATTATTCTCTGAAACCACTGGACATCTATTATTCTCTGAAACTACTGGACATCCAGTGTTCTCCCCAGGCCTTTCAAGCACTGCGGGCCCGCGTCGCTTAGACAAACAGCCGCGTCGCTTTTGTTTCGCCCGCGATCCTTGAAATCCTGCCCGCGATGCTTATTCACGTTGTATTGTTTACAAGTGTCAGCCTCGTCTAGCACATCTTTAAAACAATAACAAG